ACGACTGAAAGTCAAAGCTATTTTAGCGATCTTGTCAAGGTAATTACGTAGGAGATAGTTGTTATTGCATTAAGTGAAATCACATACGCCAGGCATTTATAGTCTAGTTATAATCTAGTATAAGTCTTTTATTTGTTAGATTCATACAATTCTTCAGTTGAATATAACGTATGGGGACGCAGTGGCCTATGTGTCCATAGTAAGTTTCATAGACTAAGTAAAACTTTGGGCTCAGATCTGGGTGGAATTTGATGAGGGTTGATAAGCGAGATTTTTTTAAATTCTTTTTGCTTGTTTAAACGAAAACAAGAGTTACATTAGGGTTGACAAAGAGTTTCATAACTGTCATTGCTTGATCAAACATGGTAAGGTCGAATATACAGAAATATAGTCTATTCAACCTTGGTAAGGTCGTGAACGTCATGGAGAGTTCACAAGCAAAAGTTCACATGAACTCGTTGCTCGTCGATCGTTGCTTCAAACGAGAACCAGAGTTGCATGAGGTTTGAAAAGCGAGAGTTTACTTAAGAGTTTCATTCCGTTTAACACTATGCAATTCTATTCTAAATATTTTTCTGTTTAGACTCCGAGCGTGTCCAACGAGGTGGTCATTCTGAGCAAGCGACCAGGAAATGATCTTTTTAAACTGTTTTATAGAATAATGAAAGGTGATTTGACTCTACCACGCCATTTTATATCCGTACATTGTATACTCGATTCTAAAGCCTGGTTTCCATATGACGCCGACGTCGGCAAAGTATTATTGTCGGTGATTACTGATGAGTGAAATCTTTTGTCTTTCTGAAATCATTTTCTCCTTGGATGATTACAGACAATGAGTCGGCGACAGGTCGGCGTCATATGGAAACCAGGCTTAAAACATGCATTCCTTTATTCTTCGGCAGCATTCATGAAGTTGAAGTTGTACGCCATCACCGCGGGCGCTGTTTTCCCTCCACTGGTATGATAAATACGATATCATTTTCGACCCCCCCCTGCCCTTGCCGTACCCGTTAACTTCGTTTACTTGTTAAGGAACCCACCGACTCAAGGAGAGATGTTCCTTGCATAATAAAAATTGTTAATCGTGGCGCTGTCGACAAGTGAGTTTTAGTTACATGACGTTTAAGTCTACCTGTTTACCGCTGAACCAAGGATGACTGCTTCAAGTTCATTTAAACCTTTTCTATTCCAGGATGCGTTCAGATATTAGCTCGATGGAATTATTTGGGGTAGGTGCTTTACGCGACACATTCCTGTTTTTACAATATAAACAGTAATAATGGCAGCCTCTTTGACTTAAAATGTCTCAGACAGACTAGCCGCAATAATCTTGCAGAGGCTATACACATCCACGCAGTATATTTCTCAACAAAACCCAGGTCTGTTCTTTTGAATTTGCGAGGTTTTTCTAAGTTCATATTTTCCCTTTTTATGCAGAGCGGTAACATCAATGTGGACTTTTGGGACTTTAGGAAAAAGCTTCTTGAGAATCTTGAAGAGTAAACTGGCAGGTATATTAAAAACTTCAATCCATATTTTAGTAGATTTCATCACCTTTAAATTTATTGAAGATAGAACGACTTCATTTCAACCCGTTTTCATAACATATTGCCCGGATATGTTGTGTTATTGCTTGTTTCCTGTCTGTTGCATGACAGTAGAATTTTCTTCACTCTAGCTCTGACCCGAAAAATAGGCATAGTCCATTGCCATGATACAGTTAGGACACTGCACACTGATGTCGGTGAGTCGAACAGGCAGCTTACGGTCAAAAGTACGGAAGCGAGCCGACGAAAAATTAATCAATACACAAATCAACCAACAATCGAATTTAAAAATTATTTGGCCTCATCAAACGAGGCTATATGTAGGATGGATTTTTATTGGGTACGAACTTGTACAATACAATACGCAAGACTGGTGGGCTTGATAATTAGCCATCTGACGTATGAAATGTAGTCTGTTATTGATAAATCTGCACACTGCATTAGCTTTTGTTGATTTTCTGCCGGATGTTGCGAATATTCGCATATTCAGGGTATTCCAATTTGTGATCAATATTTTCCAATATTGCGATCAATATTTTCCAATATTGCGATCAATATTTTCCAATATTGCGATCAATATTTTCCATTTAAGTATTGCCATCAATATTTTCCAATATTGCGATCAATATTTTCCAATTTTGCCGATCAATATTGCAAAATTCATTAGCTAATTGCTATTGCAAGTTGCAATCTAAGCCCGCAAGTTCCCTTTACTGCTAATTGCAACTGCCAATTACTGAATTAGAACTAAAGTTGCTATCATAATAAACCATCGTTTCTATAAACTATACTAACATCTCGTTGTTTAAATACAGCTTAAGTGAGTTAATAATTCAAACTCCAAAACTGTACAAAGACAAAGTCTTCAGGGACTAAATGTCAAACGTTATTCTTCGAATATTTTAATATGCAGCGAATATTTGCAGTCGACAAAGCTTCGAATTGACATTTGTTTTATCAAAATTCAAATTTAGACTTTGAAAACCCATTGTGACTGTGTGATAGCTTTTCGTAGTTGGTTATGTCTTTGCAGAACGACATATCAAGCTCATATAGCCTACGAATATATTGCAAACTGCATCCTTTTAACACAGCAAATACGGAATAAACAGAATACACACCTACCTGTTTAAAAGACTTGGTATAGCTTATATAGATTCTATATCGTTCCTCCTTCATCTCTCGGTCTTAAACTGTGTCTGCGTCGATAAAAACATCGATATTTTTGCTTATAAACAAACAAATCTGCTCATTTTGCTTCGTGAAATGTTTTTACATCTGAATTAGTTCGCAAATTCGCAAAATGACAGTTAAATAATTTGCTGACGTTCTCAATAAAATATAAACTTCCTGTCTTAGCCAATCAGGACGTAGCTTTTGGACGTTGCTGATTACCAGTCTTTACTTGTTAAAATTTCGCGGAATAGTACTTTTATTACTCCGCCTGCGTATGCGCAGCGGAGTCTTAAAATGCCATGGCCTTTTTTCCTTTTCGTCGTAGTCGTAGTTTTGGGCGACAGAAGTTGGCATTTCTACAGGTAACCCAAAACATTTTGACCGAGAAGCACTGGGTTACACGGATGAATTATGTACATCAGTTGCATCCTCGTCCCTAGGGCCTAGGCCCTGGGGACGAGGATGCATCAGTTGGCATTTAGGGAGGTTTGGGAATGATTTTGTGCAATGTTTATTTTCTTCGTGTCCTTGCGCCTCGTGTTTGAATCGACGTTCTTCCCTCGTTAAAAATATGAATGTCGAATTGAAAGAGCTTTCAGAACCATGTTCAACAACTACAAAGGTAAGTTGTTAAGATTTAGATTGTATTCATATGCTGTGGCGGTAATTGCATATTAGTATACCCAAGATTTTCTGTTTTATAGTTGATTTAGTCATTTAGTGATTCACGTTGACGTAGTGTTTTAATACAAACCAGGTATATACACGCCTAAAAAAGCTCAGGTTGATGCAATTTGAAATGAACAGGATGGAGCAATGTTGTGCCTACCACATTGTTCAGAGTTGTTATCAATATTGAACAATATTGTTGAAACTGAATCGGGTTTAACAATATTGTTCAATATTGATACAAGTGAACTGAACAATGTGGGCAGCACAACATTGCTCCATCCTGTTTTATCAACTTGCATCAACCTGAGCGTTTTACGCGCGTATAAGGTACTGTTTGCTCTCAGAAATTATACATACTACAAGTAAGCCGAAGCAAAGTAATTTTAGAAATCTTAAATTAAGTTGCCAAGTTGTGTCTTATTTCAGATTACACCATGATATTCTTTTATCACAAATATAAATGTATAAATGATTACAAAGCCCGGTCGAATTGTAATCAGGACCCAACATTTTGACAGTCCAGTCTACTGTCTTCACCAGGGGTGATCTAAAGCTGGAATCGAAGCTTCTTAAATACTCAAGGGATGATGTCAATGAGACACATATATTCCTTTGGGAAATAGGCACCGTCATCCTTATTCAGAGCATGATTACTCATATTTATATGCCACTCTTCTAGGCAAAGTCTTTGACCATATCGATTGTTAGTGGTAATTACTTTAGAGTTTTCCCTTGACAGAGCACCTGTGTGACACCAAACACAAGATTGCGTGGGAAAACTTAAAGTAATTACTACTAACAATTGATACATGGTCAAAGACTTTGCCTAGAAGAGTGGCATATAAATATGAGTAATCATGCTCTGAATAGGGATGACAGTGCCCGTTTGCCAGAGGAATATATGTATGCATCTTATTGGCTGGTACATCATCCCTTGGGTATGATGTCAGATCACCCCTGATGAAGACAGTAGACTGGACTGTCGAAACGTTAGGTCCTGATTACAATTTGACCAGGCTTTGTGATCATTTATAAAACCAGAGTAGCGAGGGATAACAGGGTTAAAAGGGATATTAAAACGGTTCCTATTAAAGGATTGATTTGCCAAACTTATAAAACCCTATTTTTGTTCTAATTTCCAGGTTTTGGTGCTCATTTGCAGGAAGTTGAAAAAAAAATTAATGTCCCTGAGTGTGAATTCCATGAATGCACATTTGAATACCAAGTCACATTCCAATACCAAGTCACATTTGAATACCAAGTCACATTTGAATACCAAGTCACATTTGAATGCCAACTTAACTTTGAATGCCAACTTAACTTTAAATGCCAACTCACCTTTGAATGCATACAATGAAGTTACAATGAATAAAGTTATATTAATTAATGAAGTTACATCAGTAAACAAAGTTAAGCAACTGAATGAAGTTACATCATTAAATAAAGTTACATCAATGAATAAAGATGCAGCAATGAATAATTTCATATTAATGAATACAAAATGTATAACAAAAAATCCCAAAAGTATGACATCCAACAGTACAAAAAGCAAAATCACCTCATTTTGTAACCTTTTGTCACCATCTGTAGTTTCCTCACCTGCAGGCGGAGTAACGCCTTGAGCAGGCGTCTTGTTTTACATAATTTGACAGAGTATAAATGCGACAGTAGAATTTAATCTTGATTAATTTACGAAATTCAATTTATATATTTATACATGCGCACACATATATCTTTAAAAACATGATACACATTGGTTGCCGTTTCTACAGATCATTGCAAACATCTATTCCTAGAAATCCGTCTTGCACTGCTTGAAATGCCGATTCAAATGACAGCACTTGTCGATAATACGTTCTGATGTTTCGTTGAACGCTTGCTTGCGCTTTCTTGTACTTTTTGGCGTTTAGTACTTTGTCGATCAAATATCGCATCCAAAGAACATTTGAGTATGGTTTATAAATCTCCCAGTTGTTGCTAAAAAAATCAAATTTCGTATATTCAAAATAATGCAAAGAACTGATCTCAAAATAAGAACTGGATAGCGCATCTCGGCGGCCATATTGGCAGCCATCTACTATGGTGTTGATAGGAAGTGAACCTAAGAAACTTTGGCAACGTAATTTTACTAACCCATTTGTTTTCTTCATAAGTCTATAGACCTGAAATTGATAGTCGCCTTTCCCGTTGAATATGTCGGGATCTTTGGAAAGGTCGCAAAATACCGTTACTCCATCTATAAGTGTAAAAAAAACGACTGAATTTTTAAATTCTCAAACCATTTCAAAGGCAATGTTTTGTATGGGCTAAACTGTTGCTGTATACCTTTTGCGAGTCTTGACAATGTGAAATCGATGATGCTGACAAAAACACCAGCGCTATCGACGGAGATATCATTTCCACATAACTTGTAGTGAACTGTCTTGCATTTTGTTCTTTTGATAAGCACGTTACCCCAGTGCAAATCGCGGTGTTCAAACGTCAGCGATTTCTCAGCAACACTGAGAGACAATGCAACTTGCTGTAAGACACTCAACGCCTCTTGAAACGACTTAAATTCGAAGCGTTCCAGGTCTTCGCCTCCATCAATAAACTCGAACACTACGAAATATTGGTCCGAGTGGTACATATCTGTGCAAAATGGTGGTAGTAAATATTGAGGTAAAAATTTCATTTAGAAAAGTAGTTTGACCTGGGCCAGATCTGTGTGTACAATATTAGAAGGATTAATCTGGGGGATCAGAAAAAATGGCGGGAAAAGACTTTCGCCTACCGGGTCGTTCGTTTTCACAGATATGGCCGTTTTTCCAGCTGTCCCATTCTTGCAATAATTTTTTCGGGTAACAGTCTTGAACGAGCATCACCCTAAATCAATCGCGAATGAAATTTCGTGCATATTTGAAACTGAAAACTTTGTAACTGAATCTGGGCTTGCACCTTTGAATTTCTGATGCAATTTAGTTTGACTCCAAAAAGAATTGCCTTGTCATGTTGTCCTTAAAAAAACAATAGCCTTTCGCATGAAATTTTTACTAAACAGTAGACTTTACCTCTTAACTTTTATGAAATTTGAGCAAGCGTTGGCACTGCAATCGTCCTGAATCGAGAAGAAACAGATGAAGAATTTTAAAATGACATATTGTTTGCAATCTTATATAAAATATATCCGGTAAAATGGTTGGTGTAAAGATGAAATCTCGCGAAAAGGTAAAACTTACCTCGTCAAAATCACCAAGTTTACTAAGTTCTCTAAAAAAAAATACAGAAAAGGTTCTGTCATGTATATTTTGTTTAAATTTTTTGAGACAGTGTTTTGATGCAGCATGAGATGGGACAGACTATAGTGTTTCTTATTGTGTACAAGCATTTTTCTACTTTGACGTAAAGATACAATGTACATGGAATCTTTTATTTTAGCTACACGTCATTAATATCACATTTACTTTGAAATCACGATTTCAGGAATCATCTCTTCAAATGTCTTTTGGGGTTCGTCGTTCACTGGAAAATCCCCTTCAACTGGAATAATCTGGAGAAACAGTGGACAAAAAGTGGATGTAATCAATGCAACTCAATCAGAGGATAAACTGACTTTGGCCCGGTTTGTAGGATACATATGACACAGAAAACAAGATTTCAGACAACGTTGTTAATTGTACAAGCCGAAAGATTTTGTTTATAAAGATATAACAAATTTTCTTAAAACTATAAATGAACCTTTAAAGCAGCATTTTCAACACCATAATTAAACTTGAAAACCTCTCCGTAAGTCCCCTCGCCGACTTTAACACAGTTTTCCAGAACTCTAAATTAAGAAATACATGTGGGAGTCAAGTCCGTGGCGAATGTAAACAAACGGTTTGTTTGCATTTTGAACTTCTATTCTTTTCGAAATAGCCTTTATTATGTTGTCTGAATATCTTAAAACGTTTAGGTTCGCTATGCCTTCAAATGAATATGAACTATAATGTTTTTGATGAGAAAAATTCGAGACACGCAAAATTTGGGCAACATTTTTATTTGAAGACCTCACATTGTGATGAGCAGAAACGATGCGCAGAACGGGCTGTACTTCCACTTTAAGATATCGTATTTTTTAATATATATATATGATCATAGTTTTAGAATGTTTACATGTTACTTTACCAACGGTTCACGCACCTTTTCGATAGTATTTCATGGAATTTCAATGCTCTATTTTGACCGCATTGTTGGAGGATTTTTTCGAAGGAGCTTAATGGCCTTTTTTGACGCCGCCGACTGAAACTTCCTGGCGTTAGAGCGTCCTGTAATACCATATAAAATGTATTCACTAATTATGAATTCGTTGGACGAAAGATTACGTACGAAAGGTCGCACATACTACAAATATAAATAGATATTCTCACCGCAAATGTAGAGCAGTTTGCATTCTTTTCATGAATCTCTTCAATGCCTTCGCCGTTCGCAGGCGTGTTCAGACTTCTTTTCCACCTCTTTCACATTGGTTTCGATATTGGCCGCATTTGAGGATTGTTTTAGACCGTCTTTTTTACTCAGATAAACTTTCGCATCAAGTAAACGAAACTCTCGAAATTTCTTTGCCAAAGGTAAGTCATCGTCTGCTGAAATTTCTTCGTTTTGTCTAGACTGGAAATTAGAAGGAATCTCGCATTCAGATTCAAATGAAGTGTGTTTTACTTTGCCCGAAATACTTTTTCGGCTATTCATGTCCGAATGTCTGAGAATTCCATCAGAGGAAATTTCATCTAGAATTTCTTCATTTAGGGATAAGCATTTTATCCCATCGGAGATATTTAGAATATCATTGCTTGAAAGTTTTTGTAGTTTTATTTCCACCTCTATTTCTTTTCTTGTTGTGGAATCCGATGATTCACTTGTCAAACTCGAATTAGCAATGCTTAATTTAGCATCGCTCTGATTGGCTGTGCTGCATCTTGATTCGCTCTGATTGGCTGTGTTACACCGTGATTCACTCTCATTGACCAAGTCTTCATAATCTATGTTGCTGGTATCAGAGAACAAGCTAGGACTGTCAAACTGGCTGGTTTTGGCGTTTGATGGTGATTCTGTGAGAAGAGGACTGATGGTTGGCAGTCTTCGCCGTCTGACGGTGACGCGTGAATTCCCGCTGTATGGGGTTGAGTGACCAGGCCGAGCATTCTCTTTCCCTTTGGACGAAATATCCGCGGTTTGTGATGATATATTCTCACTGAATAAACACATTAGGAAGTACTTAACATCAAAATTAACCGATTATTTCTACCGAGAAATAGCATTATTTCATTATTGGCTCCTTTGTCTATATTGTCCAGCAGACCAGCACAGACGAGACGAGTCACAAGCGAATATTCAACAGTCTTTTACAATCTGATAGACTATAATACAAACTACAAACTTGTGCTATTTAAACAGCCATTGATCTGTGTATTTAAGTGAAGCGACATCGCCGACATGTTATATAAAGTAAGAACACAGTCACAGCTCGGTGATAGTAATCTTACCATAATATAGATCCATCGCTTATTGAGCTTTCTGAGCTAGTTGAGATCCAAAGATCGCTCTTAATTACACGATGTTTAAATCTCCCGTAAGTTTTTATCTTTTTAAACTCCATAACTTCGCTTCGAATGTTGATATTTTCTTTGTTTTGATTTTTGGCGCTAGAATTTTGAAATCAGTGCTTCCACAATTGATTTACCAAATTTCCTTTTGAGATGCTAAAAAATCCTTTTTTCCAAAAATATTTCCTTGCCAAAATTTCCAAATTTCCTTGCAAATTCCTTGCAAATAGCGGCCTTAATGGAACAAATTTTTCTCAGTGACAAAATAAACAATATTTTTTTAAGTGATACAGCTGAAATATATTCCATATACAAAAATACTTCCAAAATTCATCCAAAAATTTGGTCACTTTTTATTAAATTAACCACAGAAACTTTGATAGAAGTGTAAAATAGGCGTAGAGTATTTGGGGGGGGGGGGGCTGAGGGCTAGAACCCCCCGAGAAATTTTAGGGTAAAAAATTTACTAGGTAATAATTGCATCATATAGCAATGTTGAATCTTTAAAAAGACATCCTTATATACACATGAAACAGTTTTATTAGTGAATATAATAACATATAATAATATATCAAACAACTTAGAAAAGCAATTCTGAAATACGAAGTTTAGATCCGCAGCCACTACTTTCTGTATTCCTCATTTTATACAGGGAGACTTTTAGCTGGGCTTACATGAAGTCTATACCTTGGTTAGCCAAGCTTTAAGCCCCCCTCCCGGAAGAAAACAAAACCCTACACCTATGAGTGAGGAAAATGGTTATATACTTGAAGAACCAAATCTTTGCAAACTTATTATTTTTTATTCAATTTTAAGTCTAATATAAACAATTTTCAAGATTTCCTTGCAATTTCCTTGCCCAGGCTAAAATTTCCTGTCCATTTCCTCCTCAATTTTATTTCCTTGCCTTTTTCCTTGAAAAAGCCAAAATTTCCTTTTGCAGGGAAATTTCCTTGCAAGTGGAAGCCCTGTTTGAAATGCTGATTGTTCGGAACGAACGTCGTGTGATGTCGTAAGAGCTCGGATATCGTTCGGAAATGATCGTGACTGTTCGCGCGCATTTCTCTTATTATTTTATCGCGTGTAGTTCACTGAACGTTCACAGTTTGAGCAAAATTTTTGCCGCTTTTCAGCCTGAAAATGTTGGTTTTATTCAAAACGTCCGTCGGGTACGCTATTTTCAAGGTATGAAGTGAACTGTTTAACATTTGTGTCCCTTTTTTACCATCCAAAGTAGTCAAATTCCTAAACATTTTTTCAATAATGTTTAGGGCCCAATCTTTGGTATAAAAATTGGCAAGATGCACACTTTATGTTCTGGCAAAGTCTGTTTTGCCAGTGGAGTGCTTTTGCCGTACATTATGCACATTAGTCTACTATTTATCTATCCAGCAAGCCATAGTTCAGAGGAGTAAATAGAAAAATACTAAATTAGAATTATTAGTGTCCTGATGATCTCTTTTGATGATTTACTCTTATTGCTTCACAGAAAAGAATGCCTTGCCAAGCTTGGCAGAATGTCACTTGATCCACAAAAGGACCTCATGTGATCACTGTGTGGGACCCTTCCTCATCAGATGAAAATTGCTCCCGAAACTTGCTTGTTTTGTAAACTTTGCCACCTTAATCATAGTATCTGTGGAAATCTGTGGATGGACAAGTGGCATGTGTCAATGAATGTCATCTTATGCTGATTTTTTGTCATCTGCGATAAATGGTGGACAAGGATTGTGAAAACAACGATTACTATTGGAAAATCTAAACTAATCAATTACATTAGCACTGTTTGAGCACAAATATAATGGCTGTAACCTACCAAGTTATTGATGGATTAACTATTGACGGATTACCTTTTTTATTCAATAAAAAAGATTAAATATTTTCTTAATTCAAAGAGTATTCAATATGTTAAAGCTAATTTTAATCTATAGTTTGCAATGTTCGTGCTTAAATTTACATCATCAAACCTGCATTCAACAATTTTCTCAAAACTCCACCTTAAGATCACCTGTTATGTATAAAGATTTGTGCACAGGAGAATGATGGGATATAAATCAACTTTCTGAAATTTGATTGGACATCCAATCAATATTCTTCCATTTCTGCAATTTCTGTTATCTATACATTCTAAACATGTTGTAACATGAAGTATCCTACATAACATCTCATTCCGACATTTCGTCCATTTAATTTTGAAATTAAAATAACTTCTCGACTGCTTGTTTTAAATCGGAGGAGAAATTTGTTTATTTTTATTGAAGGGAATGTACAAGATGATCTTTTAAGAAGGAATTTGTGTAAAATGGCTGGTAAGTTATATTTTCTACGAAGATAGTAACCATTTCATTTGGGTCGGATGACTATCGTTTGTAAATATATAAATATTATTTTAAAATTCGTTTGACTTGCATTTGCCAATCTTCGACATATAGTGAACAAGTGGCATTAATCGAAGGCCTACATGTGTGGGAAAGTGGAGATTTTAACTGAAACTTTTTATTATAAAAATGTACACCTAAAAACTATCACTTGAACACAATTTAGGCAGGAATGCTTAGGTCTGTGGTCTTGTATTGGGGTCCAAGGGGATGCTGGTCAGCTACCAGCCATGGGGTAGGATGTGAATATATGTTCAAAATATTCTGAGAATCATATGATATGGTGTTGCTTGGTTTGTCAAAGCCTCGGGTATAGGAATCCAAGCTCTCAAGTTCACCAAAATTTCCTGACGATGACTGTGTTATGATTCCTCTCATTATATGAACCAGAGTAGAGACGATACTGATTGATTACACCAAAATAATTATAATTGGCACCAAAATAATTATAATTGGCACTGGTACCTAAACCTGCATTTCCGACAGTAAATAAAACGATTAATCACTCTAATATTTGCAGAGGAAGATCCAGACAGCAGTGTCGCAAGGGCTAGGCACAGACAGAAACGTGGCCTGCTGAAATTATACTATGGGGTCGGAGACGAGCCTGGAGAGACTCCGGTTAATCCTTGCGATATTAATGGGGCTCATTTTAAGCCTGATGATTACATGGAGAAATTACTGAAAGAGAAAAGTCTCACTGAGCTCATGGACAAAGAAACCGATATTACAAAACGTACGGACTGTAAAACACTTGAAATTCTTCATATATTCAGTTTATTAATGCAGATCAGTGACCTAATGTAGCTGATAATTTCTACCTGAGTTCATGTCAGTCCAGTGAATTTAATGTAGATCAGTGATTTATGTTAATCCAGTCAATATAGTTCAGTGTTTCATGTAACTGTAGAAAAGCTAGATTATCAAAATTAGTAACCAATGTACTTTTATTATTCTAAAATAACCTCCATTGCAATTCAGTGGACTCAAGGGAGATCAGTGGCTAATGCCTAATGTAGTTATGCTAGATTATCTTTATATTAATCCAGTTTATATATATAAAGGAGATGAATGGTTGATCAGCTGTGTAATATATTAATCCAGTTAAATAAGATAGATCAGTTACTTGAGTAAATTTTGTAATGCTGGTCAACCTGATATAAATCCAATGAGTGTAGATATAAGGCCAAATTAATTGGATTACTTGTATATCAATCCAGTTAACTCCATGAAGATCAGTGGATCACCTTACTCGTGCCTTACTTTAGAAATACTGGATCACTTTTACATCAATCCAGTCACTGCAGAGATCATTGACGTGTACATATCGTCTGGGCCACTTTTATGTTCATACAGTAGTTAATTTCACAGTAGATCAGTGGCTGACAGGCTTTGGTAGAAAAGTGAGGTTGTGGTACCCCGTTCTCTACGGGTGTGGGTGCTTCCATTCACGTCTAACCCACCTCCCTGAGGCTTTTCTTTTTTTCCCAAACTCTTTTCATCACCCCTGACACGTACACTGATGAGCTCTATAGAATGGTCACTTTGACCAACACAATTCCAGGAAAGAATGTTAGCAAAAGTGGTGAAGTATGTATCTGCAATTTTACCAAATCTAGAAATCAAATCTTTGGACAGCGAAATGCAGACGTTGGTTTACGAAAATTACAATAAATTCATCAGCGCTACGGACACGATTCGCAAGGTGCGTCAACTGTTTTCTTTCAACAACCAATCCAAAAGAAAAACGCAAAAACAGACTTTTAGCAAATTATTGCGATGGCTAGTTAAGGTTTTTCAATCACATTTTGTGCTTTTTACCCACGTGAGAAGATGAAGTGTTGTCTGGACATATTGCAGATGAAAAATGACTTCAAGAAAATGGAGGAAGAGATGGATAATTTGTCAATAAAAATGTCCGCGATTACAGCATTTAACGACAAGATAAGCAACACATTGCAAGACAAACGCCTGCAGATTACCAAGTTATCAGGCGTTCATGCGTTGTTAAGAAAGGTTCGTGTTGTATCATCTGTATTAAACTTGAAGTTTAGTTGAAGTTCGTCAAGCGAGCGCTTTATCAACTGTCGGCACTTTGTCGAACGAAAACAAGAGTTGCATGAGTGTTAACGGGATATTCCCATGTTTATATTCCCGTGAAAACTTTCAGTTCAAATCTTATGAAAATTTGAACTTGCTCAATCAAATATGGACAGATTGCGTGATAGTTAATTCACGAGATTTGGCTAACAAGAATTGTATTTGTGCTACTTCTTGTTCGATTATCGGCTTCAAAAGTAGTTTATATTTTTCGTTCCAGTTGCAATTCTTATTTGAACTTCCGTCCAGACTTAAAAAATGTGTGGAAATGAAGCATTACTCCCTGGCTGTCAGGTAAAACATGATGTATAACAATTTGCTTGTTATTTTTATTTTTGATACAGTGTAAGTTATTTTCTTTTCCATCCCTACCAGGTACTACACGAAAGCTCGCGACGTTTTACATCAATACCAACATATGCCTTCATTCCGTGACATCCAACAGGATTGCGAAGTTATTGTTAAAGATCTTAGAAATTGTTTGAAAGATCACTTCAGAGATCCTAAGGTATAGCTTCGCTTGATAATCTTATCGGTTTAATAGCCAGGCCGACTTACGTGTCATGTATTTTGGATGATTTTCTCCGGGTGCAAAGTACCTGAAATTATACATACACGTTCGACAAGTTGTGAATGACAATTTAGAATGTCTGACAATTTATATTTTGAAAATTTTACTTTTTCTTGTCAGTCGACTCCTAAACAACTCACAGAATGTGTTGACTTGCTGCTCCAGTTGAAGGAACCACCAAATGAACTTTGTGATGAATATCTTGCACAGTAAGCCTGTCTGTTAATTTTCAATTTAGCCAACTTTCTGTAAACATTTCTGCCGCAAGATTTACTTGCAAAGAACTACATATTACCAATATTCATCCTCACAACCACATCTTATTCAAATTGTATAGATAAGTTTGTTGTTTTCTTATTTCAGTGCAAAAGAAAGGCTAGATGAAAATTTGCTCGAATTGAAAAATCAGGTAATCGAGATTTGCGATTTTGCCAGCACATTTATCCTGCCTCACTGCGATATCAAAGAGTTGAATTAAATATGTATTTAGGTCGATTTAAAAGAGGATAAATCTCACTTGGGCTCGCATGATGGTAAGTGAATGTTACATCATTCGTGGTGGATTGATATTCAGTATTAAATGAGGTTGAACATATTATGAATTATCAAGCCGAAGTTTGAAATATTCGCCTTGATTTACAACGACAAACTGAGACTTTTTACTATTTCAAATCATCTGACTGAAAACCGCACTTCATACTTGTTTTTGTTTTGCAGATAGCGTCCAAACCGACGCCAACTCTGATGTCACAAGTCATGGGATCATGGTGAGAGATTTCAGCATTCAAAACATTCACAAAAATTTTTGATTATACGCCCTCAGACTAGCAAATAAAAATCGTCAGAATCTAGGTAAAAAAAAGATACTAACTGCTTGGTGAACAAGGAACTCTAGCAAAAGTCTTGGATACAGTAGACTGAGTAAAATATATCCATGCAATATTCTGTGCTGATCTTTGTTGTTCTTTGTGTATAGGATATCTTGGAGTTCACAGACCACGGATGTAACAATTTTCTCAGCAATATATCGCTCGTCATTGCTTCTTACAATGAATTATTCAGCAACAGAAATTATGGACAGTGAGTGTTGTTTTGGAAGAAAATTGTGACAAAAATTGTTCGAATCTTTATCTGTAGTACGTAGATACATTTGTGCATGGAAGATGAAAGATTTGAGAACACATTGAATTTGCAGTGAAGATGTGCATTTTTTCATTTCAAACTTTCTATGTTTATATCGAAAGAAAGAAAATTATATCTTTTAGGGTCTTCTTCCCCAATGAACTGACTAAATTTGTTGAAATTGCTGATTCTGATAACTTTGGGAAATCGCCTAAACTGTGTGTTTGTTTATCGATGTTTTTGTTAGCGACGATGAGAAGCAAAATATGGACGCCATTGCTCGAGAGAAGATAGTCACATTTGTTTTGACGCTGATGGGGGAATATTTTAAGATCGTTGAAGATCGCTTGGAACTTGAGGTAATAAGACAGTGTTTTGTTGTGATTTTTTTAATGTTCATTGATGACCATCAAGAATGGTCTCATGTTGTCTTGGAAACACTATTTACAAGACCATTTAAAACAGAAAGTAATATCTAATTACTCATTTCGTGAAGAAAAAGCGAAATTACATTAAACAAGGATGTTTGTCGAACATTTTTTCTTTCTTTTTAGAATGCCCATGGCGATGATCAAATCTTGGTCAGGTCATTGGATCGATTTCATCGAAGACTTCAAGCGGTTGAAAAATTAATGCCAGAGTTGGGAGTTTTAAGGTTCGTACGAAAGTTTTGGCGCCAAATTTCCCGCCATTTTTAAGTTGTTCATCTCCGAAACCATCTTTCAACGTCTCTTCGCAACCAATCACTCCCACGTGCCCATATTTTCTTAAATAGACAAATTTTTAGATGAACGACATTGCTGAATTATAACGGCCTACTTATTTGTCAAAATAACTCTGTTATATAGGTCTGGCGGGAATATTATCACCAGAACTGCTCACAAAAGGGTGCAGTTTTATACTCAAAGTCTACAACGGCAGTTTGCTGGTAAGTTTGTGTAGAGTTATATTATAAAATCGACGATTTTGAATCAAAACTGTTGTATGTTTTGTTGTAAAATGTATTCGAATTTATATCAATCATGTTTTCAATAAGTTTTCTTCGATCTGATTTAATCCAGCGTCCTTAACTGATCTGAGACAAACATTGGCTGCTCCAAAACATCAAAACAACGCCGAAAAAAACGAGACGTTAGCTGAACTTCGTTCAAATTTCCACACAGCTATCATTGGACAAGTTAAAACAGCTTTGAACAACCTAAAGGTCGGTGAAAGTCAGACACCTAACGTCTTGTCAACTATAGTTTCGAATATAAATGTTATTGTTTATATTTTAGTCGTTTATCGGTACAGACATCACCTTGCTGTTCGTCCGTACTTTCGAGGTCCGTTCTGTTCTGACGATATTCGCCAAAGCCTCGTTGTCAGTCATATCAAACAGATTCTCAGTTCTGCCCAGGTATAAGAGTGTTTGTTCTGGCTTGAAGTTGAAGGAGAAAAATAACTTTACCACCGTTGCCTTGTGATACGATTTATAAGCTCATGCTCTGGGAAGCAATGATATACATGTAATTTGGCTTATCAAAGAAAAAATGGACTCTTAAATGTTTATTAGTGACTTGCTGTTTAGGACTGTGCAAGTCTTTTGTGTGTGTTTTCAGGCGTTCTGCGATAACGTTCGTGAGAAAACAATGCATGCTCCACCATCCCTCGTGTTGTTGTTGTCGAGATTGTGTTTGGATTTCCACGAGTCTTCTGTCGACTATCTAGTGAGTGATATTTTGTGTGAAATGTGAAATAGGAATGATGATGTTCATGTGTGTTTTTTGTCTTCTTCCATTAGTTATCATTGACAGACCAGCAGTTCCCGGTGGATGAAGAGCTGGGCAGGGGATCTGTCATTACCTCTGTGACTGAACTGACTGACTTGGCCAAGACAGCCTCTCAGGTAAATGGTGATTATATCGTGTATTTAAGTTCATATCTTCCCTCATCAACCCTCATCCTCTGTATGTGGACCCTCATTATCTCTCATCAACCCTCATCAAGTTTGATCGACCCTCATAATCTCTCATCGTCCCTCATAAACCCTCACTCTCTCGTCAATCCTCATTATCTCTCATCAACCCTCATCAAGTCACCAATCTCTCATCGTCCCTCATAATCTGCATCAACTCTTCTTATTTGCTATGTTTTTCAGCACCTGATAAATCACTTCGTTAGAATTCAAGGCCTCACTGTTTCTCAGGTAAAGAAAGAAAGAGATTGTTCAAGTAGGATACCCATACATACAAACCACGATCTACACTGTAAGCACTTATTCTTTTCTTTAAAGATGATTCGTAAAAGTGTCGAAACTCGTGATTGGCTGAGCACGATCGAGCCACGCAATGTCCGCGCGGTAATGAAGCGGGTCGTGGAAGATATCACCGCCATCGACGCTGAGGTTGGATCACTCTATGAAGAGGGCTCAAGAAAAGCCCACAGCTCAGGTATGGCGAGAATTATTGAATTCGTATACTGTAGCTCCAAGAATGACTCAGAATCAGGCGTATAGTATTATGGAAGTATTCTAGACTATTTTGCAGTGTCAAGCACCAGTTGTGATCAACAGTATATGAAGTGTAATTTGGAAACATATTTGATCATAATCGCTCTTACACGTCGCATTTCCACATCTAGATTCTAGCAAGTGGACTTATAACCAGCAACGCAGCCAACAACGAGGTCAGTGGAGTTTCACACCAAGGTAAATTAGAATACGGGATATGTACCTAACAGTTAAGTTGCCACGATCAAGACACGAGGTTGGGATTTCAGGGGAGGGTGCAACTAGCTGTAGCGATGTAGGAATTGACAAGGGTGTCGCTGACCGTAATACAAAACTGGAGTCACACAAATACTTCTGCGCTATGCCAAGTAGTATAGGCGATGGTGTCCATTCCCGTTTTACGTTTTAGTACTGGGTATGATCAAAGTCTCTTGAGCAATATTCAGAAACTGTTCTCGGAAAAGATCGAGATATTTAGCGCGGTCGAGTTTTCCAAAGTCTCAATTTTAACTGGGATTATCAAAATCACGCTTAAGGTAGGTTTTGACTGACCTACATTTCCAGCAGTCCTAAATATTTTTCCAGATTTGCTCGAAGTGTACTTCGAATGGGTCTTTAAAAACATAAACCATTCTAAAAAATTCATTTGATTTAGACATTGCTGGAATGTGTCAGGTTGAGAATCTTCAGTAAATTTGGTTTACAGCAAGTGCAGGTGGACACTCATTATCTGCAAGTGTACCTCTGGAGATTTGTTTCCGATGAAAAGTAAGAGCTTTCTGCTGTGGTATCATTGTGTGGTAATGTGATGCATGGTATGATATTGTATGGTATGATATAGGTGTACTATACGGTATTGTATTGTATGGTATGATATAGGTATAGTGTATGGTATGGTATTGTATGGTATGGTATGATACAGTTATAGTATATGATATGGTATGATATAAGTATAGTATATGGTATGGTATTGTATGGTATACAGTATATGTGCCGTGATATCATGTGGTTAAGCATGTTTTTCAACGTCCAAACATATAGGCTGGTCCATGTAATGCTAGACGAAGTGGTCAACAGCACAGTTCACAGATGTGTTGAACCTGATCTGATGGAAAGTAGCGTAAGTACAGATCCAACTTCGTAAAAACACCAGAATACATCCTATCTGTTTATGCGTAGTCGTTTAAAGAATATTTTGTTTTTCCGCAGGTTGTCGAAGTTATATGTGACAGAGGCTAAAAGAAATATTTTGAAAGTCCAAACACGATGGGAAAGTATTCTTTATTCGCCTGTAAATCTACGCAAAACAATAGTACATTTGATTAAAAAGTTTCTTATAATTCGCTTTAGCGAGTCCTTTTTCGCTTGCTGGAGTCTAAACTTCATTGTTTATCAATATTCGCCGTCTAAATCTTATTACTCCGGCGTCAGCGACGGAGTTGAAAATTCACCCTGGTTTTGTTTTTGTTTTGTTTTTGTTGTTTTTTATTTTTCGTCGTCGCAAGTCTGAAATGGCGCGATACATTCTAGTATTTAGTATGTGTATGTAACCGTATTTATCTACGTCCCAGTCTTATCTCCCAAGAGTTGTGGTGCACAGCTTTGGCTAATTTTCCGATGTGCGATTCGATTTCGCTCGCATGATACGGCAATTCCTCCAGGAGGAACAAATAAACCGTTGTTTTCATGCTGTTCGATTAAGTTTAGATTGAATTGGGGTATGAATATATTTAATACATGTAGATTCTGGTCCTATTTTAATAATATCGCTGCTATTTCGCTGCTTCTTTCAAAGTTTTATCAGATGTTACTTGATCAGTTTATCTCCGCTCGAGCTTTCGGCCGTACTTGGGCCGGCTGTGGTCGATGTTGTCGGCCCCGACGAGGCAGTGTTTGAAGTGGTCGCTGGTGTCAGCAAATGTCTTAAAGGCATTACTTGTTGGGACGACATAATTTGGCACAATACGAAGCACAGAATGAGCTTCCGTGTGTCTTCGACTCGGTATATTGTTTGAACAAATACTGCGGGTGAAGTTTAAAAACAAGTTACGGCATAAAATGGTATAGAAAATATCAAATAAACAAAAATCGAAGCGCCGAGCAGCCATTATGAATCCACGCGAGTCGCCAGGAGACATCTCGTGGGGTACGAAATTTCCATCCCGAAGTTGAAAGGGCCAATTTTTGAAATGGATTGGGGACATTTTTAATTTCGAGGCTTTAAAGTTTTAAACGTTTTTTTGCCGCGCTGAAAGTCCAATATTAGCAATATTAGCTATTGATGAGACGATCCCACGGGCTATAATAACTGTAATAAGAATATGAATTCAGAAATTTTAAAAAAAGAATTCTGGCGTGGCTAAATTTTTGCCATTTGGAAATACCACTGAGGTATATAAAAATTCCCTGATGTTTTGAATATGTTTAAGTGTGCCAAAAATCATGTAGTGGTTAAGAGATGCAAGTGGTAAATCCACAGACCCTTGGTGCAGGCCTGTGGAGTGTCAAGAGAAGAAATTGGCGTGAAAAAAACTCATTTTTCGTTGTACATTATTGCACTTTCTTTGTTATGCTAATTAGAAATTTGCAGTTATCTTTAATTATCCACACATGTGTTGTGTGCAGGCGGTGATCGTGCACTATTCGATGAAATTAACAAAATTTTGAATGTCCTTTAATCACTTTACTTCCTAATGAAATCAATATGTTTAGCTTTCATTAAATGCAGTAAGTGAAAAAGGTTACTTTACGTTTATTAAATATACTTCAACGCTATTGCAAAACGATAAAACTCAAAAAAAGTATTAAGAAAACACGCGCAGTCGCAGTAAATGAGTAATAACCCCACAATCAGCACATAGAGTGATGTCACATATAGTAAGCCTTTGATGATTTTAGTTATATCCTTGCGGTCTTCGATGTTGTGTTGTGCGCTTGAATGCATCCTCAAATGGGACCATTCGATGATGATGAGGATGCATTCAAGAGGAGAGAAAAAAGTTGTTTGAATTATTGGGTGGAAGTGTTGGAAGAAAGTTTTAACTTTTAAATGTGCCAAAAGATGTTTGGACTTCATGAGCCGTCGTGATGGTGTTGTGGTTAACACAAGTGAGTTATTGGTGGTTCTAGCCTGTAAAGTGTCAAGAGAAGAAGTTGGCGTGAAAAAAGCAGTTTTCGATGTACTAATTCAATGGAAGTGCCGGGAGATATGTCTAAGTGTACCAAAAAATGTAAGTATTTCAAGAGCTGCTATGATCACGTAGTGGTTAAGAGATGCAAGTGGTAAATCCACAGACGCTGGTTTTGGCCTGTGTAGAAGAAATTGGCGTAAAAAAACACATTTCTCCTTGTACATTATTGCACTTTCTTTGTTATGCTTAAATTAGCATATTTGCAGCTATCTTTAATTATCCACACATGTGTTGTGTGCAGGTGGTGATCGTGCACTATTCGATGAACTTAACAAAATTTAAATGTTCTTTTATCACTTCATTTCCTAATTAAATCAACCTGTTTAGCTTTCATTAAATGCAGTTAGTGAAAAAGGACACTTTACGTTTATTAAATACACTTAAACGCTATTGCCAAACGATAAAAACTCAAACTAAGTATTTAGCAATCCCGCGCAGTCGCAGTGAATGAGTAATGACCCCACAATCACTACATTAACTAATGTCATATATAAGTAAGCAGGTTCTTACTCCTCTTGCAAACACGCCCGTTGCGCTGTGAGTGTTGATTTAGCGCGCGTATTAAGTCGAAAGCCGTAAAAAAGTTTTAAGTCAAATAAGAAACAGCGTCCATTATCCGTGGGGCGAATGGTCTAGTGGTGACGACAATAGCCTCACAACTGGGAGGTTGACTTCGAGAAAAGGATAAAGTAAATTAAGTAACCACAGCCGTTCAGCACAAGATCTTTGTAGTGTTGCGGCGAAGACAATGGCCTCCCAAATATTAAATCGACGGTTCGAATCCAACCTTAACCGTTTTTCATTATGAATTTCATGAACAGGATGAAGTAAATTAAATAACCACAACCGTTCATTACTAGCTCTTGTAGTGTTGTGGAGAAGACAATGGTCTCCCAAGTGGTAAATTGATGGTTCGAAGCGTACCATAACCGTTTTTCATTATGAACTTCGTGAAAAGGATAAAGTAAATTAAATAATCATAACAATTCAGCACAAGATCTTGTAGTGTTGTGGTCAAAATGTTAGTCTCATGTGTTGAGAGTCAAAGGTTCGAGTCTCGTTTTGGATGAAAATTTTCGTTATTAATAAAACATGGTAAGGTTATGGTGAATAAATTGGTGTAGGCTTCCAACAATCACCAGTTAGCCTTGTGGTAAAGTCGTGGACTATCAAGTACAAGATCGTGGTATCAAGAACAGTATGGTATGTTTCTCATGGTGGTGGAAAGAAAAAGAAAGAGACAAAAAAATGGTAGGTATGTTGCTCGGAGGAGGTTTGTACTCGAATAATCTTTGCAAATCAAAGTTAATCTTTAGGGAAATTAGGAGATAGATAGGGTGAATGAGGGGTATATGAGTACAAAAAGACTTAGTAATAATTGGGCGGCCTCGGCTGCCGGGGCAGGGGGAGGGTATAGGTGAGAAAACAGCATATAAAAATGTTTAAGTCTTTTTGTACTCATTTAAACCTCTTTACCCCTATTTATCCTCCTATTTAGGAGGGCATATTCGCCCTCTCGCACTACTCCTCTCACACTCACAAATTCTCACCTTATTACCTTGTTGTTCTTTTTCGGTTTATCCAGGGCTTGAACCATCGACTGTATACTTGGCAGCTCATCGTCTTCACCATTACACCACCAGTTCTTGCGGTGAAAGCCTACAGTTTTTATTTTACCTAATCCTTCTTTGGAAGGATCTTTGACGAAACACAATACCTTTTGGTAGGATCTCAAATGAAATAACAATTTAAATGAGTTCACTTTAATTCATTTTCTTAATTTATTTTCTCAAATTTCACACACTGTATCTTTACTATCTTATTCGTAGCTTGTAATTTAATATTAACCATTTGTGTTGTCGCTAAACTTATCACATACAGGTATGCCGCGCCTTAAAGCACCATCTTTCCATAAGTTGGTTATATGCGACCCAAGTGAAGCTAATGGTTACGGTGCGATTGTTTTGTATTTTTAATGAGGTGAAGTCAAAGTAAAGTACAAGAATTAACAATGTATTTCAAAATCGGGCTAAAAGAAAGCCGTAAAAACCCGTCTGAATGTGAATTGGTTGTGAAAAATTTATACGTATGATTGTTGGGTAATGCGTTATCATTAGGATAATAATTGTGTTTATTTTCCTTAGCCTTGTTCCGTCCTTGACCGTGCTGGTATTTCTGAAACTCTTCTGATTTATCCGTCTAAATGTGAGTTTAAGACGAGTTTCTCTTGCAGACGGGATTCCCGTCCAACTTACCCGTCTCTTAATTTAGCGGACGGGAAAGTTAGACCGGAAAATTCGGACGAGAAACCCGTGTGTGATTCACACGAGTCCCCCGCCTTCGATGAGTTTCCCATCTCTAATATGAATCCGGCTAAAAGTATAGTCATGAGGCAACAAGCATTACGTCTGAAATGGCATCTGAAATCGCAAATATCCAGTTAAACAGACATTGACTATTTATTTCAAGACTTTGTTGTTTAAAGAGTCGAAACACTAGCTTGTATTGCTAGCAGGTTCGTCGAATATAAAATACGCTAATCTAATATTTGAACCTTTGTACAAAAGAGATCAGCGTCTTAACAACTGCTTGACGACCACATCGTTTGTCGATAAGCTATTGTTCTCTGCTTGACTTAATCGTTTCTTCGAAGGACTTTTAAATGAATAATTATGAATTGTTGCCGTAATATTGTAGAACCGCCGTTTGTTTGTTTGTTAACTGCGGAAATTACAGTTTTGAAATGAACAGCTTTTTTCTTAGCGTATTCGACGAATGCATGCTTGTTGCCTCATGATTATACGTGTTATACACATTGAAATACATTTTTAATTCTTGTACTTTTTGCTTTTATACCTATTTTGAAATGCATTGTTAAAACTTGTACTTTACTTTGACTTCACTTCATTAAAAATACGAAACAATCGCACCGTAACCACTAGCTTCACTTGCGCCGCAGATAACTAACTTATGGAAAGATAGTGCACTATGGCACAGGCATGCTTTAAGTTGTGTGCGCTTTGGACGAGAAAATTAATCATGAACATTAAAATGAACTTATTGAAATTGTTATTTTATTTGAGATCCTACCAAAAAAGTAGTAAATAATATAAAAAAGTGTAGCCTTTCACCGCAGGTTGTGG